GTAACAGGGAAGAAATTATTTAAACATAGATGATTTAATGTGCTCTTTGTTAAAAATGTAGGATGTGTTGCCAGATAGAAGAAATAATTTTCAATAGTTTACTAATTTAAAACTTAAAAACTGGTATTAAAGTTTTCATAGTACTGTTAGTCACAGCCCTTATTTGTGAATCGACTTACTGGTACTTGATAAAACATCATTTTCAATTGAATAACTTACATTTAGGTGATCTAAATACATTTTCTCATATGACTTAATGCATTTGTAAATAGGAAAACAAAAAACCCCTGACATCAGCAGCATTTAATTATAGAATTTCTAGAAAGTTTCATGTCTTTTTCTTGGAAAACATTTGAAATCGAAAGTGAAAATGACTTTGAGAGAGTTTCTCTAGTTCTACCGCATCTAAAGTCCCACTATTTTGAAGATTCGCATTAACATTCATCCATATTCAAGAGCTGTAGTTGAACTACACCTAAACTCAAAATATTCTGAAGCTTGCAGTTGCAATGAGAATGATGCTGAAACATATTTCCAGTTTGCACAGAACAAAACTCTTGTCTGAGAACCAGCAATGTTTGTCAGGACTCCCTAAAATCTGTTCTTCACAACCGGGTGCTGAAAACCACACTGACCTTTTTGACATGATTTCTGACTACAGATCTGACTGCAATTTTAAGTTTAGTCACTTCTTTCTGCAAATGCATGCACAATGTATAGCATGAAACAGATTTTCATCCTGTTAAAAGATGTATGATAAAGCTAAAACACCATTTAAGCTCATTTGTTGTTTTGTTTAAAAGTGTTACCTAACATCCTTTGGAGCCTTGCTCCTTGCATACAAATCCAAGTATGTTGCAGAGGATTTTCCACAGATTTTCTGTCCACGAGGATCTTAAGATCAAAGTTGAATTTCCTTCACTCCTATGAACAACAAGTCTTTTCCAAATCTTAACCTCCTTTCCACATTTTTTCAAATTACCTTAACTTTAGGAATACATGTATTAAGAAAGAGACAGAGCCCCCATGTCTTGAAACCACCACACCTTTCTTATAAATAAAACCAACACCTAGGATCATAAT